GAGTGAGAGTGAGAGTGAGAGTGAGAGTGAGAGTGAGAGTGAGAGTGAGAGTGAGAGTGAGAGACAGTGTGTGTCGCTATGTATGCATGTGAGAGTGTGTAGAGTGTGGTGGGGCACTTGCAGTGCAACATGAACCCAAGATCCCAGTTGAGGCGGTCTTCATGGGTCACCTCTGCTCGGTGACTCTGTGCTGTCGTGCATCCTGAAGTCCGTCTTGGGGGATGTTTACCTGAAAATCCAAGATCGAGGTGCTACCACGAGTTGCTACCTAGGACCCAGTTCAATTCAGGAAGGAAGCGAGGACCCAGGAGCAGCGTTCCCACTAATTATTCCTTCTTATCATAGAATCGAACAATAGAGAAAAGGCCTTTAACCTAACAAAGTCCGTACTGCAAAACTACACAAAATCTACACTAATCCCATCTTCCAGCACTAGGCCCATAGACATAAATGTTATTCCGCCTGGACTCCAGAGGTCTGTGCATGAGAGCAATGTCTGGAACAAAGAGACAATGGTGCGATCTGCATCAGCACAGTGATTGCTGTGTGCAGAATGTCAGAGTGACTGCATGCGCACAGCTTAGAGGGAATGTTGTCTAGTATTGGAGACAGAAGTGAACAATAGACTGGATATAGAGCCTAATGGTACGAACAGGTGGTCAGGATGCAGGGCTGGGGTAATGAAACACAGTTAAGGTATTAACTCTGCGTTGGGGGCAGGGAGAACGCACAGGGGCAGACCAAGGCAGAACATCACCCTGCAGAGAACAATGTGTGGGGGAGATGAGGCTAGGGAGCAAGGGCAGCAGAGAGGCTTGACACTTTAGCCACAAAGAGAACAAAAGGGAGCGTGTGCCTGGGAGCCAGGTAATGTAGCACTGGATGCTGACCTGTGGTGATGCACATTGACAACACACACAAATGATGTTAAAACAGAAACAGTACCACAAAACAAAAGGCTGCAAAGAAGACACGGCATTTTAACAAAGTAAGGTAAAGTGGCAAACTTTAAATGACTACCTGTATTCTTTCTAAAGATCGTGGTAACGTAGGGCTCCAAGACTATGGTCAAAAAAATGCAGAATGCACAGACCTGAAGGGGCTTTCACTGGATAGAGGGTAGATACTGAGAGAAGGCGTCCCTTCATGGGGGAATCTTGAAGTAGGGGACAAAGCTTAAAATAAGGGGTGTTTCATTTATGATGAAAATGAGGAGATATTTCAGTCAGGCAGATTTTTGACCTACAAGCAATAAACAGTTAGGGGGTTAGGTAGGAAAACGGAGTTAGTGCCACAATCAGATTCGCCACAATCTTACTGAACAATAGAGCAGTCTCAATGCGGCAAATGCTCTACTTTCGGCTTCAACTTTGTACAATCTATGGCAAACATCTTTTCTGTTTTTGGAAGCAGAGTCAATTGAACTGACTTGCTTTGGTTTGTTGGCTTTCCTGTGGCAGCCTGGATCCTAAAGCCAAGGAGCAAAATTCAAGTTACAGTACATTGCACAAAGGTTTATTTCAAAGCCAGTTGGTTTTAATTGATAAAAACATTCAAATTTAAAATGAGTATTGGTTTTTTTGACTGGATGAGACTATATTTGGAGTACTGCACACTATTGTAATGTCCAGATTACAGAAAACAGATACAGGCATGGAGAAAGTAAGATGAAAAACATCGAGAACCAAACTGAAAGGTAGTAATTATTAAGAAAGACTAAACAAGCTAGCACTTGTCACTTTAGAAATGAGAAGGCTGAGGTTACGCTAATAAACCTCTTTAAGGTAAGGTTTTGAAAGAGTAGAATTGGAGAAATAATTTCCACTTGTGATGGAGAATAAAACCAGAGTGGCAGGATTCTCAGCAGTGTGGAGGAACAGAGGGATCTTGGGGTCCACATCCATAGATCCCTCAAAGTCGCTACCCAAGTTGATAGGGTAGTAAAGAAGGCGTATGGTGTGTGGGCTTTCATTGGCAGGGGAATTGAGTTTAAGAGCTGCGAGGTTATGCTGCAGCTCTATAAAACTCTGGTTAGACCACACTTGGAATATTGTGTTCAGTTCTGGTCACCTCATTATAGGAAAGATGTGGAAGCTTTAGAGAGGGTGCAGAGGAGATTTACCAGGATGCTGCCTGGACTGGAGGGCAGGTCTTATGAGGAAAGGTTGAGGGAGCTAGGGCTTTTTTCATTGGAGCGAAGAAGCATGAGAGGTGACTTGATAGAGGTTTACAAGATAATGATAGACATAGATAGAGTAGATAATCAGAGACTTTTTCCCAGGGCAGAAATGACTATTACAAGGGGGCATAATTTTAAGGTCATTGGAAGAAGGTATAGGGGAATGTCAGAGGTAGGTGGGCGTGTGGAATGCGCTGACGGCAGTGGTAGTGGAGTCAGATACTTTAGAGACTTTTAAGCGACTCTTGCATAGGCACATGGAGGATAGTAAAATGTAGGGTATGCAGGGTAGATTGATCTTAGTAGGATAATAGGTCGCCACAACATCGTGGGCCGAAGGGCCTGTACTGTGCTGTACTGTTCTATGTTCAGAGGTCATAGACAAGGTAGTCACAAATAAATCAACAATAAACCTAACAGAAAAATTCAAGAATAAGTTCAATGTCCAAACAGTTTTTAAGAATGTGGAATCCCTCACCATGTAGAAGTGAATAATTTGGATGTATTTAGGTAGAAGCCAGTTAAGCATATCCAGAAGAAAGGAACAGAAAATGAGTTTAGAAGAACAACAAAAGGAATAGGTCCACGTGGAGTATAATTATTGACAAGATACAGCTTGTCCGAATGTTTTGTTTCTGAAATACAACTCATGGAAATGTTGAAAATGCTTGTAAGCTGAAATTACATACAGGCTGTGTTAGGCTTTTTGAAATACTTTACAACAGTTACTCTACTAAAACAATACTTTACAAATAAATTCAGATTAAAGTAAAAGCCTTTAAAAATTGGTGGTGAACAATCTTCTTGAGCTGCTATAGTCCATTTATAACTTCCAAACATTTGCACTCTAACTGTCTTGATTTGATCCTAAGATATGCTTTAAAACCTTCTCAAACTTGTTTCTGCCATTTTCAAAGATATTTGTGTACATATCCCATATCCAGTTGCAGCATCCCCATTAACCTGTATCCCTTAAAGAGCCTTTCCTCAAACTTCATGTCAAAATGTATAATTTTACACACCTTTGCAATAAACTTCACTTGTCCAATGGCACATAGGAAGATGTTATAGGAGTTGGAGGTCTGTCACCTCAGTAGGGCTATTTCAGGGGAGTGTCCTAGGCCCAACCATTTTGATCAATAACCTTCCCTCCAACATTAGGTCAGAGGTGGGGATGTTCTCTGATGACAGCACAATATGCAATCACCCACAACTCCTCAAAT